GACTGTCTGGTGGCCCCTTACGAAGCTGACGCTCAGTTAGCCTTCCTCACTAAATCCGGTTTGGCCGAGGCCGTGATCACCGAAGACTCCGACCTGTTGGCATTCGGCTGCAAAAAGGTACGGCCGTGCTGGAGCTGCGATTTCACAACCAATTTCCTTGTTTGTAACCTGTGTCATCTAAAAAAAAAAAACAAAAAACGTAACTCTGTTGCAACCATCAGGTGATCCTGAAAATGGACAAGCACGGCAACTGTTTAGAGATCGACCAAAGCAACCTGGGCCGCTGTCACAACTTGGGGGACGTTTTCACCGAGGAAAAGTTTCGGTACATGTGCATCCTCTCTGGCTGCGACTATCTGGCCTCCCTGTACGGCATTGGCCTTGGGAAGGCCTGCAAGCTGCTTCGCATTGCCAGGGACCCAGATATCCTCAAGGTCAGATTTAGTTTTACACACACATATATATATATATATATACATATATATATATATATATATATACATATATATACATATATATATATATATATACATATATATATATATATACATACATATATATATATATATATATATATGTATGTATGTATTTATATATATGTATGTATATATATATATATATGTATATATATGTATATATATGTATATATATATATGTGTATATATATATATGTATGTGTGTATATATATATGTATGTGTGTATATATATATATATATGTATATATATGTATATATATATATGTGTGTATATACATATATATTTAAACATGTTTGTGTTACATATTATATTTTTTTTTTCAGGTGATCAGAAAGATGGGTCAGTACCTCAAGATGGACATAGTTGTTCCTGAACATTACATCGAGGGGTTCACCCGAGCCAACAACACCTTCCTGTACCAGCTGGTCTTCGACCCAGTCAGGAGGAAGGTCGTCCCCCTCAACCCATACCCAGAGAACATTGACCAGTCCACGCTCAGCTATGCTGGATTGTATCCTTCAGCCCTCAATCACTGAACCCTTACTTTGATTTTTTTTTTTTTTTTCCCCCAAATATTATTGCACTATTCAGTAAAAACACGGCTGATGATGACAGACAAAACTACAACGTGAAAGTAACCTCTCTTGAAAAGCCATCACGATACATTGAAGTTTAGTGATCATCAACAGGTGGCCCGCGGGCTAAATCTGGCCTGCTGAAACAGGCCCAGGACTGGATTTCAAAATTATCATGTGGTCTCCAGTATTAAAGGAACTACATTTTTAGATTTTTATTTCAATTTATTTATCCAGAAAAATTCTGGTGACCCCTAATGTGTGATGCACCGCTCCCTAACTTTCCTATTGGAAACCTTTACACCGGTGAACTGCTGAAGCATAGAACAAAATTAGAAGATTTTTTTGCATCAGGATTTATCCCTTGACTAAATGAACCCTAGTAATGTCGGAGACGACAAAGGTTTGCAGATGGCCTTGGGAAACATCGACATCAACACGATGGAGAGGATCGACAACTTCAACCCGGACAAGCCAGCCGCTCAGGTGTGCATTCGCAATCGAGTTCTGGTTATCAAACTAATGATGCCCTGCCTTGATGTCAGCTTTTGTTCTTACCAGTCCAAGCACCGCAGTCGAGGCTGGAGCGACGCTCCCGCTACCACAGGTCGCAGCATATGGTGCGCCGGTCCCGCGTCGGCCTCTGCTGTGCAGCCCCGTTCACCTGACTCGACACGCAGACCGGCGTCCACCAGGGGGAAGGAGAGAGTGATCAGCCTGGGCGGTCTGCAGCTGCCGAGCCGAGAGCTGCAGGTGAAGAGGTCGAGGGAAGGTGCGAATTGTTCAAAGAGAGTTCTGAGCAATGTAAATAAGGCACCGCGTGTACGTTTGTTGCGTCATCACTGTACTTTCGTCTCGCAGAGTCCGGTGCATCAGACAGAGACGTGCTGCAGCAGTACTCCGCCAGCGGTCTGAAACGATCCAGGCCCGACCAACAGCCGGGAAGAACGGTGATAACTAGAACGCGTAACTGTTTCGCCACGCTGCTGCAGAGGAGGAACCAAGAAGCTGAGGAGGACGATGATGGTCAGCCCACACGCAGCAGGTGATCTGGTTCATCTGATCAGCTATTTGATTATTATCTTAAAATCAAATAGCTGATAAATATCTTGCTCTGTTATGTGTAATTATGTGCATGTCATTTCATCATAGGGCCTTAAGATGGCTAACCATTTTGACATAAGAATCTGTCTGGTTTGAGATAAACATCTGTGGTTTCAAGTGGACCTGTTGGATTACTGCAACATTCTTTCTGGTTGTGTTTTTTTTTTTAACTCAGCTTTAGCCAGGTAATAATGGAATATGGAATTCTTTAAGTTGCTGATTTGAAACACCTTCAATTTTATCTGGTAAATCTTAGATCAATTTCAGATATTTCACATATTCTCTCTATGGCTTGACTTGCCGCCATGTTTTTACTGAGAGCTAGGCCCCTGCGCCTCATGCTGCCGAGAATGCTAATTGCGTGTTAGCGCCACTTTTTTTTTTTGAAAAATACCCAGATGTTTATCGTTTTAGACTAACGATAATAACTGAGCCAAAACTGTGACGCGTTTGTTTGTAGGTTCTTCGGCAGATCCAGTTCCGCGGCCAGTCCGAGCACCGAGGATCCCCCGCGGGAGGACGTTCCTCAGAACCGTGTCGCTGTTAGTCCATGTGAGGACAAGGACGGAGCCACGGACTCTCCGATCATTCAGGCCACTGACAGCGATGGTCCCGATCCACTTTCCTTTGACACGCCCAGCCCTCCCGGCTCGTCCAGCTCGACGTCCCCCGGTTCGGCGTGTCACGGCCTCAGACTCTTCCACTGGTCAGAACCGCCGCAAACACGCACGTCTACCGCGGGCCTGACCGCCCTGCAGCAGTTTCAGTACAAGAAGGAGAGTTCTCCGTCCTCCCCCAAACTCCACAGACTCTCATCTCAGTCCTCCACCAATGGAAATGCAGAGGACAACCTGTCCTGCTCTCCTCCATCACAGGACAGCGCCTACTTCTCCCAATCCCAGCCCGACGACACGTCCTCCCAAAAGGAAGACGTTTCCGACTATGCTTTCTCCTCCTCGCGCCAAGAACTCGTCACCTTTGTAAGGAAAATCTCCTTAAAGTCTCTCGTAATGAAATCATCGTATCAGCGGTTATTTTGTGATCTGATGTAGGGTTTTTTTTTCTTTGACTTTCTACTCTAGGATGAAAACACAGCGGTAAAAGAGAAGAGTCCGCCGCACTCCAAAAAACGATCCGTCAGCTTGGGGTCAAAGGTGAGTTCAACCTTACCAAACACAAATACTAAGACATTTTGAAAATCAACATATTCCATTTACGTTTGTTTCTTCAGGTTTCAGGTCTGTCAAAGATAAAGCATGAGAGCCACAATCGAGCCGCCAAGTCCCCAGTGTTGGGCCCAGCCAGGGTCAGTGGACTGAGGAAGAAGTCCGTGGCATCGGGGAAGAAAATCTCCTCTCCTAACAATGAGAACAGCCCCAATGTCCAGGCCACAATCAGCAACCTCTGGAAGAACTTCAGCTTCAAAAAGTAGGAAAGCAAAAAAAAAAAAAAAATACCAATGTGTTTAACGGAGCTGGGTTTTCGCAGAACAGTTGGCAGCAAATTGTCTCGGGTTTTCTTTAGAGCTTGTCAACCTATAGCCTAATTAGTTTTTTGTTGATGTGATGTCACAGCTTTTGTGCTGATTGTAGTTAAAATCCCAATCACCGTCATTTGGTCAATATTGAAATGACGATTATTTCAAACGATTACTCCTCGACTCTGGGAGTACATTCTTTATATCGCATTGAACTTGCCCTTAAAATATAAATTGAAATAAAAATGAATGTTGTATATTAATTAATAGTCAAAGATTGCAAAATTGGGTTCACGGGCCGCACACGACCAAATTAGTCAAGTGGGCCGGACCAGTACAACAATTGAAATAAAAATTAATGTTGTATATTAATACAAAAATTGGTTAATGGGCCGCACACGACCAAATTAGTCAGGTGGGCCGGACCAGTACAATCGTAACATAATTAACCAGAAATAACAATACATCCATGTTTTCTTTTAAGTACAAGTATATTATGTATTTATTATTATGTATTTATATTTAATGAAGTATAATTTTACGAACAATGTCCTGAACACATAATTTTAATTTATTTATAATTTATTTATTTTATTTTTTCATCAAGCGTCCAGATTGAACACCCTAGCGGGCCGGTTTTGGCCCGCGGGCTGTATGTTTGACCCCCCTGCTTTAAACTACGATTGAAAATTTGGCATGAAAATTTCTCTTAATGCTTCATTGCACTGGCTGTGAACTAGTCTAAAAAAAAAAACCTGCATTGTGATGGTCACAATTCTGTGTCACAGTCCGAGACAATTGCCGCGTACGTTTACATCTGTGGCCCTGTGTGTTTTTGTTTTTTTTGCAGAGATAACGTCATAAAGGTGACGTCCTGCCGGGAAGGAGAGTCGAAGCCCCTGTCTCCAGTCAAAGACAACGTCCAGCCCAGCACGACAACAGACACGAAGTTAATCAGCAGCTGCTGACGGATGCTCGGGATGTTTCGCGCAGCCGTCGTGCGTGGGAGTGAAACTTTTAAACACGTGTGCGTGTCCGCCTCCATTTGTCAATAAACTGTCTAAGTATTTATGTGTGTTTTTTTTAATAAACTCAACTGATCCACGTCTCACCGGGGTTCCACTCTCGAGCTTTGTGAAACATCCTGACCAAAGCTAATATGTGTAGCTTCATGGGATGAGTACTGCATACTTGCATACTTCACTAAAAAAAAAAACGCAGTACCTGCATGCAAGTCAAAGGCGAATCACTTGCCAGCGATGACTTCAATCGCTTGTTATTCTAAGTTCGAGTTTTGCCCGGTTGGTTTCCAAAGCTCAGCCAGCTGATGATTATCTGGAGTTTATGTACTCCCTTTGTTATGAAGTTTTGGTCGGTTTAAAGTCGTAGGTCGGGATTTTTGAAGTGAGGTTCTTGTACTTTATTCACCCGCTTCCTTAAGTAAAAATTCACAGCATTGCTAGTGATTTTCTCAACCGATGATTCAGCAAGACGAAGTGTTAGGGCCGCTTTGAGAATGGAAAAAAAAAAAAATCAAATAAAATTACGAGATTAAAGTTGTAAATGTATGATAATAAAGTCTTAACGTTATGAGAAAAATTTGGTATTTAAATTCGTATTTGTGATGTTCACCCTAAATGTGACCAATGTCTTTTCGATATTAAGTACGTTTTTCCCATAAATTTAAGATTTTTTTTTCAATACATTACCTCATAAATGTAGGACTTCTCGTAACGTTACGAATTTTTATCTTAAATTTACGGCTTTTCTCATATGCGTCCAACTTTTCTCTCGTAACGTTGTGACTTTAAAAACTTAAATTTACTTAACTTTAATCTGGTACATTTTTTCAAATCAATGTGGCCCCACTTTTCGTCGTACAAACAAAACTGGAAGCAAACTCCAGTTTTTTTTACGCTGCTCAGGATTTGCGACTTAAGATCATGTAAAAGTCAGGTGGTCTGGACGGGAAACAAACAAACACGCAGAAATATTAGGTGATTTCCAAAGGCTGTCGGACTTGAGTATTTGACGTTACTCAACACGCCATGCACTCTCACTTTATGCCAATGCAGTATTCTTTGACCGGACATCTACTAAAACTAAAATCTAAAATACTAACATTGCATTAAGACCCAGGTCTCCACCAGCTCCACCATCCAGTACCCAGACCTCTGAGACCTGCTTGTGGTGCCAAGTGATAAGACCTGGGACCTTGACACCAACAGGACCACTCTGGCTGGTTCTTCGACATATTTGAAATCATTCACATGCCATGTGCCTGTAAAACTATGCAAAGAATGCATAATCAGGAAGGATAATTGCCTCTTGCCTCACAATCAGTGGGTCACCGGTTCGATCCCTGGTGGCAGATGGTGGTCTTTCTTTATTGAGTTGGCTTTTTTTTTTTTTTTGGCTAAACAACTGTATTGCACTTTTCAATATTTAAACAAAAAATAATGTAAAAATAAGTACTACATTAGAAACCCATGTAATTCCTCCTCATTGTTTAATGGCAATATTCTGAGCCTGTCGCTTCACTACTGCACTCTAGCCTATCCTGATCACCGCGCTGCTCCTTCTTTATTTTTATCCATATTTTCGAATCACCCAAACACACATTTGTTTTAGCTGGGTTTTTTTTTTTTTTTTTTTTTTTTTTTTAAAGTCAGGTTGTGTCAGTTCGGCTGTGTTTTGCAACGACAATGTCATGTTGTATTCTATTCTGTCTTGTTGTAACCTAAGCCATGCAGAGAACAGTATTCGATGGTACTTCAATATAGTTGTAATTACAGTACCAGGATGCCACATAACACCGGCTCTAAGAAAAA